TGATCATTCTCATACCTTTGCCTTATAAAATTTATCACCATTGATCTATGCCCACTATTATCCCACACTGAATCTTTTCTAATTCCCACCTTCCCACCATTCACCAAACTCTACAATCTCATCATTTTCCCCATTGTTTTGTTGTTGTTGTTGTGATTTTAATGAACGTTTATAGGAAAGTTTGGGTTTCACTCATTCATTGTTGAACATTTTCCTCCCTCCCTCTCCCTTCTCCTCCGCTAGTCAACAGTGCAAGGCATCTCTTGTTCCAAATTGTTGTCATACATATAATACCTAATCATGTATTTCTTTCAAACAGTTCTTCCACTTATCTGTTCTAATGCAATGTTCATTATCTATCCATTCTTCTATTTTCCCCCGACCTCCATGTCAGTCCTATTTATAACAATATTTGTCCTCTTTTGATTGAGATGTTTCACTTAGCATAATGTCTTCCAGGCTCATGCATATTGTGTAGTGTTTTACAAGTTCATTATTTTTCAATGTTGTGTAATATTCCATTGTGTGAATGTACCATCGTTTTTTTATCCATTTGTTTTCTGATGGGCACTTGGGCTGATTTTATCTCTTTGCCATTGTGTATAATAGCAGCAAATAAACATGGGTGTGCATACATCTGCTTCAGTTTCTCAGTAGTGGAATTGCTGAGTCCAATTGGTATTTCCATTTCCAACTTTTCGAGAAAGTGCCAGGCCATAAAGAAATGTTCACAATCAATAGCTATCAGAGAGGTACAAATCAAAATATCTGAGATATCAGCTCACCCAAGCAACGACAGTAAAAAAACAAATGCTGGTGAAGTGGTGGAGAGATTGGAACTCTTATTCACTGCTGGTGGGAATGTAAAGTGGTACAACCACCACGGAAGGCAGTCTCAGTAATTTTTAAAAGCATAAGTTAATGATGCTGTGTCAGAAATAACACAAATAAAGAAAATCCATAGGTGAATGAAATCCCTAGGTACTCACTCCTTGTGTCACATTGGTTCTTTGTCGTGTTGGTTCCTGCTAATGGGTGAGGATTGCCCATCTTTCTCCCACAGAGCCCCAGGTAGATTGAAAATACCAGAGTTGCAAGGCCTTTGGTTTAGCAATGCAACGTGTGGACTATATCGCAGGCAAGACAAGACCCTTTAAGGAAAGCAGAACCAACTGATATTTATTGAAGATGCTCTTGCATTTACATCAAGTCAGAATGGACTCGAATTGACTTTGCATTTGGTGTCTGAGGCTGTCATCACACAGGAGGTTTGCCCAGCATTCTCCCAAGTGGTCACTGATAACATGAGACAATCAGAGAGATGAGGGCTGTGAGATAGCAGTCCAGCTCTCTACAGAGTAATAGTATTTAGAAGGCATCATTTGTTCATTCATTCCATTGACTGAGACTGAAACTGTAAACTACTGGCTTCTTACATCAACATTTCTAAATCAAGATGGGGAGGACATTTAGAACTTGCTGAAACTCTGTCCATTTCCCTGCTTATATGAATACAGTGAATAAACTTTGTTCTGTGTTTGTATTTATCCAGGAAGCTGTAGTGGCATAGACTGTAGGAGTTGTGCTGCTAACCTAAAAGCATTGCAACTCTGGCGGCCCCACAGGGAGAAGAATGGGGAATCTTCCCTGGTGCAATTACAACCTTTCAGCAACCCTCTGAAGGATCAGCGATGAGTCGGTTCTGTCTTACTCAAAATGTATAAGCCAGCTATTGAGCTCCTCTTGTCAATTTATTATCATACTGTTCTTAGGAAATACAATGAAATTTATAACATTGTTCTGTCCTCCAAGAATTTACAGCGGAATGTAAACGATGTGTGCATTAAATTTGATCACTGAAATAGAAAAAGTAACTAAATATGATTATTTGGCAAGGAGCCCTGGTGGCATAGTGGTTAAGTATTCAGCCGCTGAGTTAAAGTTCAGCCCTTCAAACCCACCAGTCTGCCTCTGTAAAGAGTTCTTTTTGGAAACCATATGGGACACTTCTACTGTGTCCTAGCACATTGATTTCAGTCAAAATAGACTCCATGGAAACAGATTTGGTTTCTTATTACTGCAGAGTGCAGTAGGGGAAAGTGCCAAGAAAGACTTTGTACAGTGTCAGCAATACATAGACCAAGGATTGCCTAAGGTATACTATACCTAGGTGTTTCTCTGTTGTTGTTGTTGTTATTATTATGTGCCATTGAGTTATTTGCAACTCATAATGCCCCTATGTACAACAGCTCTGAACCCTGCTCATTCTTGAGCCAACTTTACTGATTCTGACACACCTACCCCCAGTACTTCAGTCACTAAGTTAATCCATCTCATTGAGGGTCTTCCTTTCTTGTGCTGTTCCTCCACTCTCCCAAGCACAATGTCCTTCTTCAAGGACAGGTCCCTCCTTGCAACATGCCTAACGTATGTCAGACAGAGCTTCAGAATCTTTGCCTCCAACCAAGGAACAGCCTGGTTTCACTCTTTCTAGGACAAACATGTTTGTTCTTCTAGCCATCCATGGTAAATTCGGCACTATTCTCAGGTACCACAGCTCAAAGGCATCAATTCTGCTTCTATCATCCCTAGTCATTGTCCGGCTTTCTGATGCAAAGCAAATAATAGCAAAGACCATAGAAAAATAGCCTGGATTAAGCTCACCTTAGTCTCCAGACTGACATCATTGCTCTTCAGTTCTCTAGAGAGGTCCCTAACAGCAAACTTAGCCACTGCAATTTGTCTTTTGATTTCCTGGCTGCTGGTACCGAGAGTGCTGTTTCTCTGTGCCAGGGTTTAATACAGGCAGTGGCAGTCATGGGAACAAATTTGAGTTTAGTGTGGATAGTGTGATGTTGTGCTGTCAAGTCATAACTGGCTCATAGCTGACCCTTCAGTGGGCTTTCAGAGACTGTAAATCACAAGGGAGGAGACAGACTGGCCATCTTTCTCCCTGGAAGTGGCTATTGAATTCAAACCACATGCTTTAGGCTTGGCAGTGCGGCTCCTTGTCAGTAAACTATCAGAGATGCCTACAACAACAACACTGTGTAGACTGAAAGGAGCTGAGAAATGAGATTGGAGGTAGAGATGTAAATTGAATCACTATGGGCCCCATTTTGATATTGTTATTAGTGCAATCTGTAAAGAAATAACATGGGTGACAAAGCAGAAATAGAAATGAGAGCTTCAAGAATGGAAACACAGGCTTTAAAAAATATTTTGAGAAAATAATAAAGCACATCTAATACACAGAATCCTGCCTTAAAGGAAGCATTCCAGGCATGCATATATTCCATATATTAAGAGGATCCTGGAAAGGAGGCCAAACCCTCCATGCCCCTTGGGAAGAAAGAGGGACTCTGTGGATGGAATCTAACTGAGGTGAAAGGGAAGTGTGTTTTAAAAGCTGAAGACTCAGCTTCTGACTTTATGAATCAAATTACAGGAATTTTATTTATGTGAAAAATTCATGCTGTTGAAAAAGTGAGGGCTCCAAGTTTTCTATAAACAAGAACAAGATGTTCTTCCCAAAAATATATGAAAAGCACATGTTTGACTACCTCCTTTGAGTATTTGACTTGGAAAGAAACATCTTTATTACTTGGGCCTACCTCTTTAATAGCAATATGTCTTTAAAAAGCTAACGGTCTCACCCTATCATTCCTGGGAGAGGCAGAAGAGAGGTAGTTTTAAGGATGATGAGACCCTGATGTTTATTACCAAAAGATTCCAATTACATTCCTTAGCATATTTTGAATAGCAAACTATTTTTTCTTGGTATACGTATAATTATTCATATGCATTGTGTTTCATTCTTATACATAGTAGAGGAGGGTGTTGTTTGTGTGTGTGTTTCATACTTTCCTTCAATGATATCATGTTTCATAAAATCATTCCCATACATTGTGTTTTATAAAATTAATCACCATTGGACTATGCCTACCATTACTTCATCTTTTCAAGTTCCTGCTTGATCATACCTATTTTCTTTACTCCCTCTTCCACCCACCAAATTGTTCTCCCTACCATCCACACCCCTCTGCTCTTACCCCTTCCCCTTCTTGAGCTCCCATACACATTTTACTAGTTATCCTCCTATTTTTTACAATAATGGCCTTATGCAGTATTTGTATTCAGTAGACTGAGTTAGGTCACTCAGCATGAGGCTCTCCAGTCCCTCCTAAGTTATGCAGTATTATTCAAAATCATTTACAGCAAACTATTTTGAGATAGAATTAAGCCTTCTGGATTCTCTGGGGGAGGATGCAAAGGTTATCTTATTCCATTACTCACTGAAAGGTTAAAGGGTTTTTCCCCAGAGATGCCTCAAACGATAAGTACAGAGATCTAAAGAATCTGTTATTTAGAACTACAAAGGGTAGAATTCTATTCATAGTCAACTTGATGGTCATTAACGTTAAGTTTTTTACAACTAACAGATATGTAGTTGCTACTAGTGAAATTACAAGGTAGTTTAAATAAGACTAATAATGAATATTTTAAAAATTTTTTTCTAATTCTTTAATTATATGTATGACTACACAGAATTTCTAAAGAGAACTGATATATCACTTGCTTATGGATTGTTATTTCAGTGTGGAAAATGTTTATCTGTTTTTAGGTCTTTCTGCAAACTAAATTACAGCTACCTATCTGGAGTCTTGTTTACTGACATTTTCCATAGTAATTCTATTGTGCTTTGATCTTAGCAGACCATCTGGCAGCCTAGAGCTGTATTTCTTCAAGCAAGTCTACTATACCTTTGAGTTTATACCAAAATAAATTTGACGAGTGTTCATTTCATAAAATGATCCTTTACAAAATTACATACCTTAATCTTTCTTTCTTGAAGGAGCTGACTCTCCCAGTATATTTTAAAATATGGTTACATTACCAAGAAATTAATTTTGAAGACAGATAGGGGAACACTGTATCAAGTTTACTTTGTTGAGTTGTTAACTGTCTAACCAATACACTTTTATATTTTGTCTTGAAAGATGGACCCTATATTAGCAACATCAGTTCCGGTGTACTCATTGAAGCTGGATAAGGAGTACGAAGTGCGAGTGAGATCCAAGCAACATAGCCATGAAAGATACAGCGAGTTCAGTGAGGTGCTCTATGTAACACTTCCTCATATGAGCCCATTTGCATGTGAAGAAGGTAAAAACAAAACAATGGAGAGGATTAAAATGGTAGCCAACATGGCTTTTGGCAATAAAGAGTTGATGCATCCATATCCTGTTAGAGTGTTGTCCAGGTCAGCATAGATTAGCATCATATGTCAGAGTGGGAGAACTTGTACTCACTATCTGTGAATTAATCCACTAGAAGAACAGAGAGAAGGTTTGACTTCTAAATTAAATGGTTCAGAAAAGATCCTGAAGTTGATGGGAAGCTTAAGAAGGGAAGATACGTTAAAAAATTAACCATGGTTATGTCTGGATTCGAGACAAGGATTCTGAAGTTTCATCTGACATACTCTGGACGTGTTGCAAGCAGGGACCGGTCCTTGGAGAGGGACATCGTGCTTGGGAGGAGGGAGGGACAATGCAAGAGAGGAATATGTTCAATGAAATGGATTGATGGAGTGACTGGGTTATGGGAGTAGGCGTGTTGAAGACAATAAGATTGGCAGAAGATAGAGCAAGGTATGTCGTTATTGTTAGTTATTGCCTTCAAGTCAAGCACAACTCATAGCAACCTTATAAACAAAAGGCCTGAAGCCCCTCTACAACTATTAACATTCATCAAAGTTCGTCGGGTTTCTGGAAGCATGTTTAGGAAGTGGATGTCACTCCTGCTTCAAAAGAGCAAGGTAGAGGGCTGTTGAAAATAGGGTTGCTATGAGTCACTAGTGACTTGATAGCACATAACAACAACATGTCTGAATATAGCAGACTTTCAAGTGACATTTTCCGTTTTGTTTTGGGAGTTTAGATTTTGAATTTGCTTTCTTTCTAAAGTCAATTTCTTTTCCATCTATACTTGTGAAAATAGTTTTTCTAATGTCTCAGAAAGAGAAAGCCTAATATTGAATCAGCATAGGTAGTAAATTGCAAGTACTTTTTTTCAAACATTTAGGTGTGGCTTTTCCCTGAAGCAAGGCTTCATAGGTAGTACACTAGGTCTGGTCAGGACATCATAGAACATTATAAGATCTTACATAGAATGACAAAGATGCCTAAGAGTTGAAAGAATAAAGATGAGATCTAAAAATTCAATATAAAATATATCTTTGTTTTAAGATATTTAATTTCTAAATTAAGTTGTTGTTGTTGTTGTTAGGCACAACTGAGTGAATTTCAACTACAACAGAATGAAACCCTTCCAAGTCCTTACCATCCTCACCGTCATTGCTGTGTTTGCATCCATTGTCACAGCCACTGTGTCAATCCATCTATTTGAAAGTCTTCCTCGTTAGCAGTGCACAAGCATGATGCCCTTCTCTAGGGACTGGTCCCCCCCTTACAACATGTCCAAAAGTACATAGCGTGAAGTCTCATCATCCTTGGTTCTAAGGCACATTCTAGCTATTCTTCCTCCAAACCATATCATCATTCCAAGACAAGACAGTTCATTCTTCTACCAGTTTGTAGTACCTTCAGTATTCTTTACCATCACCATAATCCACCTGCACCAGTTTCTCTTTTGTTTTCCTTCATCATTATTTTCACATGCATATGAGGTCACTAAAAATTCCATGGCTTGGGTCACATACACCTTAGTCTTCAGGGTAACAACGTACCCAATCCAGTAGTAGTTCAAAAGAAGCTTGCTTATCATTGAACAGTGTTATCACTTCAAGGGAAAACTAGCAACAACTCATCTCCACTTAAAACAGAATGCTTCCAGGGTTATATGAGGAGTTGAGGTTGGTTAAGAAAACAGTCATAAGCTACTGGTAAATTAAATTTGTGTTTCTATATTTACTGTACAAGTAGAATATTATGATACTAAATTTGCAACAACATGAAAATTCCTAGAGCATCATTGTTTTTAAAAACTCTGGTTAATAAGACTGCTTGTTTAAAAGAATATTTGATACAGTTCTGGTTTTAGAAAGACAATTGCACATACATATACTTTAAACTTATTGTGCTGATATTTAAATTACTTACTAAGGACTTCTGAAAATTGGCTTTCCTTCTGTGTTTAAAATAATTAGCTCTAGATATGTGCTATGTTCTTGAATATGTCATCTGATATAAAATTATAAAAAAAGATACAAGATGTTTTTCTGTCTTCTAATTCTTTACAATAAATGTGATATTTCCGTGGGGTAGTTTAATAACCATTATTTAATTAAAAGAGAATATTGTTAAAAATATATGATTTCAAAAAAGCAACATTAACGGAAATTCCAGGTATCTTTTAATTGAGAAAAAGGTTAGCCACTGGCATTGAGGTGACACTACTTGGAATTAGCCCCAAGGTTGGTGAGAGCCCCTTGTTCTTAAGGAATGAAGCTGACATATTCTAACAAACTCCAGAATCTTATAGAAAATGTTCTAAAATCTAAAGACTGGAGCCCAGTATTAATTATCATCTACCAAAGGATTGTTTTTGTTTTGTTTTGTTTTTCTTTTTTTATTATTAAATTTTATTAATTTTAATGAACATTTACAGAGATTTTGGGTTTTCATCCATTCATTGTTGCACTATTTTCTCTACCCTTCTCCTCAGTTCATTCTTCTTTTTTATCTCCCCCTTTTAAGTCTGTTTTAAAGGATTTTTTTTTAAGTTGTAAAATAAGTGTTGGAAAGAAAGAGAGAAGAAGGAGAGGTGTGACAGGGAAAAGGAAGGAAAGTCGCAAAGAGACAGACCCAGTGGGAATCATCTGGGCAAAGCAGCATGCTGACAGGAGCACTTGGACACCTAATATGCATAAAAACGGTTTGCTCGTAAACACAGTTTGTGTATAAACTGTGATTTCTTTGTTTTTTAATCTTTTTTATAGGAATGCTTCAATTCAATAGAGGGAACAGAATTTTTTTGTAGAAGATATTCCTTAAGTCCCTGGCTTTTGTTTCAGTAGTCATCAAACAGAATCACTTGCCTGCCTAGAAAATTTAAAGTTAGGAAAAAGATTTACGTGAAAAGGAAAGCAAAATATATATTTGACTTCAACTATTTATACTTCTGTGAGAGAAATGTTATTCTTTCATATTTCAGATGTCCGTTTTCCATGGTTGTTAACAACTATCTTTGGAATATTTGGGCTAGCGGTGATGCTCTTTGTATTCATATTTTCTGAACAACAAAGGTATGCATGCAATGTCTTCTTTATTATCTTTTTTCCAGTTGTGCAATTAGATTTCATTGTGTATTTCCAGCTATTATCTGTTATTTCCATGTTTGTTTTTTGTTATGTGTCGAGTCACCTGTGACCCTTAGTGGCCCTATGTACAGAAGGTCTGAACCATGCCCTGTCCTGAGCCAGTCTCACTGATTCTGAGATACCAACCTCCATTGCCCCAGTTACTGTATCAGTCCATCTCATCAGGGGTCTTCTACACTGTCTCTCCACCCTTCCAAGCATAATGTCCTTCTCCAAGGACCAGTCTCTCCTGGACACGTGTCCAAAATAGGTTAGACAGAGCTTCAAAATCCTAGCCTCGAAGGAGAGACTTGGATTCACCCTCTCCAAGACAAACTTTCCTGTTTTCTTGGCAGTTCATGGTATGTTCAATACTCTTTCAGCACCGCAATTCAAAGACATCAATTCTTCTTGTCATTCTTAGTCATTGTCTGACTCTCTGAGGCATAGCAAGTATTGCAAAGACCATGGCCTGGATTATGACTAAAAATTTAAATTACACCCAAACATTTTTCTTCTAATTATACATTTATCATTTATATAAAACTCAACCTGTCCTATTTATCACAGAGAATTTAAAAATGTATGGTGGTGATCCAGGGGGAGATAGAACCCTCACCTTCCAGGTAGGACCATGCTTTGAGATTCCCAGACACAAAATTCAAGCACAGCCACCACTTGTCTGTAAGTAGAGGCTTATATGTTACTGCAAGTCTGAAAAGTTTCCAGCAGAGCTTCAAATCTATGTAATATTAGGAGGAAAGTCCTGGTAATTTACTCCTTAAAATTAGGCAGTGAAAATTCTGTGGATCACAATAGTTCTTGTGCATGGGTTGCCATGACTTTCTAGATTAGTAATGAGAACTTGGTTGGGGCTGCATAGGACATTAAGTGACCTGGACTGAACACTGTACATGCCTTGTGATGTGTACCTCCCTAATAAAGCTGTTATCTGTGAGCTGCCTGTTCACTTCAAATCCTGAGCAAGCAGGCCTATTTATTTCAGGACTGCATGTGATCACTGAATCAGATACATTCCTAATGCACAGGCTGTGTTTCAAGTACACTAAAGCAGTATGCTAACACAATTACCTGTTCAGGCTCTAAAGACTTCAGGGCCTACCAACTTGGCATAAAAGTCACTGTGTTGTGTACCATCAAACCAGAAGTGACCTAAGCTGACCCTCGGCAGGTTTTCAGAGGAAGTTAATCACACGGGAGGAAATTACCCCCTTTTCTCCATTTGATTGCCAATCTTTTTCCTATAGGGCAGCTGGTGGCCTCGAACCCCGTGCATGCCATCGAGGTTACTGTAGCTCAGCTTCTTGCTACTGGGCTACCAGTAATGAAAAGGCTAACTACTAACATGTACTTAAATGGCCCTTCTTCAAAGAAGAAAGGCACACATAGCTAAGTTAATCACTATCCATTTGGGAATCTTTGCTTATTGAAATTAGAGTCATGTTGCATTTGTACATGTTTTTGAACATTTCAAATACACCTGCTCATCTGGGAGCTCTAGTAACCTAGTGGTAAGAAGCTGTGCTGCAATTCCAAAAACATACAGTTAAAATCCACCAGCTGATTTATGAGGAAAAGATAGGCAATCAACTCTTATGCAATTTAGTGCTTCTGAATATCCACTGGAGGGTCAGCTATGGCTCAGTTCAAACTCTATGGTACACAACAACAACTCTTCACCTCCTAATTATCTCATCTGACTTTTTACATTTATAATAGTAAAAATATTTATTTTGTGTACTAACACATGTCTGATAGTAATGAATGCCAAGATGTAAGGTGAGATAAATACTGGCTCCTCTGGCAATAGAGAGCTCTGCTGGCTTAGTGGTAAGGCATTGTGCTGCCAACCCAAAGTCACGGTCAGTCAGAATCCACCAGCTGCACTGTGGGAGAAAGATGGACATTCTCCTCCCTTGTCATTTACTGCCTCTGAAAACCAGCTGGAGGGTCAGCTATGGAGGGTCAACTTGATGGTATCTAAAAACAAACAAAAAAACCCCAGTTACAGTTAAAGTTGTATGTCACCTTGGCAGAGCCGTGATTCTCAGTGGTTTGGTAGGTATACAAGGATTTAAATTGGCAGTTATAAGAGTGTAATTTAGCAATTCTATATAGCAATTCTATAATTTAGCAGTAAGAACTATAGTCAGCTTGCATTTTATCATCTGATAGAGTCGTCCTTTTGTATCATTCTTCTGTATTGTGTGAAACTGGCATTTCACACAATGCCAATTTCCCAAAGTAGCCAGGTCTCTGAAACCTACCCATGTCAATAAATGGTAAATGGGTATAGTTATTTAGGAATACTGAACCAGGTAACACAGCAGCAAGACAGAGATTTTGGAGTCAGGCACTCTAGGTTTGAGCTCCAGCTGTACCAAGTATTGGTGCCTAATTTGAACACATTCCTTAAATCATTAAATTTTTCTATGTGTGTAACGGAAGGATAATTTCATCTGCCTCCCTGATAGTTCTAAAATAATGAGTCATTTTATTGACTAAAAAGCATTATGGGAGAAATACAAACAGAGGTTAAGAAAGTCGGTTTTTATTTAAATTAACTTCAAGTGAGGATTTTTACTGGTTTTGTTCTTTTTTTTTTCCCCTTACCATTTCTCTCTATAATTTGCTGTTTAACATTTCCCTTTTCTTTATTATATTTCAGTTACATAAAGTATACTGTTATTGTTGCTGTGTTCCGTAGAGTCAGAACCGACCCATAGCTGACCGTTTGGTGGGTTTTCAGAGGCAGTCAATTGCATGGGCAGAGAGTGCTTATCCTCCTGCAAAGCAGCTGGTGGCCTTGAACGTCATGACTTCGGGATAGTAGCACAGTTTCTTGTCACAAGGCCACTAGAGCTCCCTAAAGTATACTAGTGTACTAAAATAAGTAATTGTATCACCAATATTTTATCTTTACCTTTTGAAATAATTGACTGTAATTTTGAATTAAGTATATCAGACCAAAATTGTCTTTGTTTTCAAGGATTAAGATGCTGGTTCTGCCCCCAGTTCCAGTTCCAAAAATTAAAGGAATTGATTCAGACCTTCTCAAGGTAATAATAAATCTACCTAAACTGTAGATTGTTGTTGAGACGGCATTATTTTAAAGAGATATGAAGAACACAGTCTATGTTGAGAGCATTACTTTTTTTTTTAAATTCCTTCTCATGGCAGAAGTTTTTTCAGTATTATAGCTTTTACTAGTATTAAAATCACCGACTAATGCATTTTTCTTATTATGTGGGTTTGCTATGATTTTTCTTATTATAACTATAATAAGTCTCTGAATTCTATTTGCTAAATCAGGTAATTATGGTAAGTTTCTTTTAATAGCTTTCCATTTTTTCTGCTTTCCAGGAAGGAAAACTAGAAGAAGTAAACACAATCCTAGCCATCCATGACAACTATAAACCTGCATTCTACAATGATGACTCTTGGGTTGAATTTATTGAGCTAGACATTGATGACCCTGGTGAAAAGACTGGGGGATCAGACACAGACAGACTTCTAAGCATTGACTCTCAAAAATCACTTCCTATCCTTGGGGCGAAGGATGATGATTCTGGACGTACCAGCTGTTATGAACCTGACATTCTGGAGTCTGATTTCAATGCCAGTGACACATGTGATGGTACCTTAGGGGTGGCTCAGCCACAGAGGTTAAAAGGGGAAGCAGATCTCTTGTGCCTTGACCAGAATCACAATAGCTCGCTGCCTGTTGATGCAGGTCAACAGCCCAACCTCACCCTAGCAGAGGAAATTAAACCAAGACCACTTCTTATTGATGGTACTGAGTTGGCTCATCAAGGTCAGCTCAGCAATCTAAATTCACTGGCAAACATCGACTTTTATACCCAAGTAAGTGACATTACACCAGCAGGGAGCGTGGTCCTTTCCCCAGGCCAGAAACTTAAAGCAGGGATATCCCCGTGTGACATGCACCCAGAAGTTGTTTCGCCCTGCCAAGCCAAATTCATCATGGACAATGCCTACTTCTGTGAGACAGATGCCAAAAAGTGTATCACCGTGGCCCCTCACATCCAGGTTGTACCACGTCTGGAGCCGAGCTTTAACCAGGAGGACAGTTACATCACCACAGAAAGCCTTACCACTACTGCTATGAGGTCTGGGCCAGAAAGAGTGTCCAGTTCTGAGATGCCTGTCCCAGACTATACCTCCATCCATATAGTACAATCACCACAGGGCCTCATCCTCAATGCAACTGCCTTGCCCTTGCCTGACAAAGAGTTCCTCACATCGTGCGGCTATGTGAGCACAGACCAACTGAATAAAGTCATGCCATAGCCCTTCCTTGATTTCTCACAAGTATCATATTAAATGGTAAAGAGTTGGTCAAGGCATGAATGCTTAAACCAAAACAATGTTTAAACCTTTTGGGGGAATAAGGGAACGTGGATTCTAAATGCCTTTCCTGAAATGTCAAAACATGATATTAAAAAGAAAAAAAAAAAAGAATGCTTAATCAGATAGATAATTTCCTGCTGTTAACTGTAAATATCTTAAAGAGTTGTCTCCAAGGCTGTTTAGTAGCAGTGATTGTCTTGTTATTGTGGGTGTTAATTTTGTGATAGTAAGCATTGAATACCTATGTTTTTAATGTATAGTGAATAGATCATGCTTTTTGAAAAAGCAAAAAAAAATCAGGTGGCTTTTGCAGTTCAGGAAAATGGAACGCAAATTACATAGCACAGACTTAAATTTTTTTTAATAATTGGGAACCAAAACTATAGATAAGAAGGCAAAATAGTTTGGATACCTAAAACATTTATTTTGACATAAAAATTGATAAAGATATTTTTAATAATTTCAACGTCAAGCATGGCTATTTTATATTACACTAACACTGTGCTGTAGTTGAAGATGGCCCATCTAAAAGAATGTAACAACTACAGTGTAAAGTTGGCCTCATGCTTTGATTAAAGAAAAGCAAACAAGTTAGTTTTTTACAAGGCCCTTTTGATACCTTCCCAAAACTCCCTAAACAATTCTACAAATGACTGTAGTAACCTTCATTACTGGAACATACTCATCTGAATTTTTAAACAACTATTCATTCATTAGTTTGGAAAACTCAAATCTTTGCAAAAATCAACCAAAAAACAAACAACAAAAAAGCCCTTTCTTCACCAAATTTCCATTCATACTAAGAAAGCAACATGCTAAGAGATGGGATTCAAGCTAGGTCCTGATTACCAGGATGCACATATGGTCATAATTTTAGTACATGTAGCTTGTGGAAGGTCCACCCTGTACCCTCTGCAGCTGTATCTCTTCAAGCACAATTTGGTTTCCTATCATCGTTTTCTAAGAAAGGAATAAGATACAGGAAGCATTTTATAAATTCAAAGCAGGTTGAAATGAAGTTAACCAGCTTATGGAACAAAAAGTTCAGGAAATACAGTTTTGTTTCTAAGTTCAGGAAATACAGTTTTGTTTCTAGTCTGACTCCTTATTCATGGCCACAAGAGAGAAGAGAAACAAGCTTCTAATCCCCTCAGATAAGTCATAATTTACTTAAGTCAATATTAGAACCCTCCTTCCTCACCGAACATTTGCTAGAATTTACTTCCAATAGTAAAGAATTTACTAATTTTTCTTTTCCAGCCACCATCACTGCCCCCCAAATAGGGGTGGTGCTTCAAATTGTAGGTAAACAGAGGGAAAGGAAGGGCTCTAATTTTGAAATGATTTCTTGATCCCAAAATAACCTAGAGCATCAGAAGTGCTCTCCAGAAAGTCCTTCAAAAAGAGAAGAATCAAATATTGCAGATGAATGCTTCTCATTCTAAGTATTTTTTTAAAAGGATAAAACTTTAGTTTTACCTTAAAGAAAACTGTATTTGCCATTCAGCATAGATCTTTAAAGGAGGCAAGCTTAATGGCCGGTAGTTTTAAATGCCCTTCCTTGTAGGAAGGACAGTGAAAGACTAGAATTGGGTGTTTAGAGTTCAACACATTTCTCTGTCATAGATGTCTAATAGATTTTCTGCTATCTTGCTGCTATGGTTTTCCTCCAAGAGCTACATAATTTCGTTTCATATGAAATGTCATCAGTGCAGAACGTAATTCAATTGAAAGCTCTGTGTTTGGAAGAACTTATCTTACCATTTCACAATAGGCTGACAACATTTCTATAGCCAAAAATAGCTAAATACCTCAATCAGTCTCAGAATGTCATTTTGGTACTTTGCTGGCCACACAAGCCATTATTCACTATTATGACTAGTTGTGTCCTGCAGTTTATATTTAACTTTCTTTATGTCTGTGGATTTTTTCCCCCTTCAAAGTTTTAATAAATTTATTTTCTTGGACCTCTGGAGATTTTTGTTCTTTAATAGTATCCATGGAAGCAGAGAAAGCAGCTCCCGGCCTCTACTATTTGAAGAGATAACCAGTACAAAAATATTCTGCTGGCTTTCCTGGACTGTGTCACCTCCTCATGCTGCCATTCCCTGGGGAAGGAGACCTATAGATGTGTGTGTGTGCGCTCACATGCGTGTAGTGGGGATGAGTAGTGTCGGAGCATTGTCTTTTTTTTTAAATAATAGTTTATTATACTTTATTTTGTTTTTATTGAAAGTTTGCAAAGCAAATTGGGATCCCTTTTGACAATCTCTACACAGACTGTTCAGTGATATTAGTTACATTTTTCACCATGTGTGTCCCATTCTCGTTAATCCCATTTTGGCTCTTCTGTTTCTAGTGCTCTGCTTTCCCTGCACCCATATCTTCTCCTCTGTGCTCTCCAGTAATTGTTGACCTTTGAGCTTTGTTTTCAGATGACACCGTTTTAACCTTGAGTTGTCATCTGGCCCTCTCCTCTTCCATTTGCATCAACCAAACCAAACCTTGTGCCATCAAATCCATTCCAACTTGTGATGACATATGTATTCAGAGTGAAACTGTATCCCACAGGGTTTTTAATACCTACGATCTTTCAAAATTAGGTCAGTAGGGCTTTATTCTGGGCTAACTAGGTGAATTCAAACCACCAACTATTTGGTCAACAGTTCAGTGTTTAACCATACATGCTACCAGAAACTTCAATTGACATAAAATCCAAAACCCTAATGATAGTAAGTCAATTCTGATTGACAGAAACCCTCCATCAGAGTTTTGAGGCTGTGAATCCTTATAGGAGGAGACTGTGATACTGCCCTTTCTCCTGCAGCTAGTGGATTGGAACGCCCGACCTTTATATTTGCCTGACATGTTACACACGCTGCCACTAGGTCTATTGTCATGGGAATGGTTAAGTGAAGATTGGGTGAGGAACTAGGTATGTAGTCTGTGTGGGCACTTGAGGAAGCAAGAAAAGTATGAGACTGGCTCCAGCTGGGTAACTGCTGAATTATAAGCTCTTGTGCAGATTCTGGGTCCTGAGATGTGGGAGTACAGGTGTGGAACAGATGAGCGTATTTAACAACTATTGCTGCATCCAGCTGAAATCCAGCTGCCACAAGTTTTCCACAATGCTAGAGTGTTTGTACCAAATACACAGAGTAAAAAGCCTCCATCTACTGCTTTCTCACCTTGAGTAAGCCATTACCTGAAACAAAAATAAGTTACAGCCTCAACATTTCCTAGTTCCATCTTTGGAAATATATTTTGGAAAACCAAATTGTCTTCTTTCATTATGCTATTGGGACATATGCTGTCTCAATATTTGTTGTTGTTGTTGTTGTTGTTGTTGTTTTTATATGCAGGTGAATCATCCGCCACCCATAGTGACCCTATGTACAGCAGTTCTGAACGCGGCCCCCTCCTGGGCCAATCTCACTGACTCTGACACACCTAATCTCATTGCCCTAATTGCAATGTCAAACCATTCAGGGTCTTCCTTTTCTACACTGTCCCTCCATTCTTGCAAGCATGATATCATTCTCCAAGGACTGGTCCCTCCAGGCTACATACCCAAAGTATGTGATACAGAGCTTCAAAATTCTTGCCTTCAAGAAGAAACTTGGTTTCACTTCTCCAAGACAGACTTATTTGTTCTCCTAGAGGTCCATGGAATGTTAAATACTCTTCTCCAGCACCAAAACTCAAAGACATCAATGTTTCTGTCATCCTTAGTTATTGTCCAGCTCTCTGATGCATAGCAAGTAATTGAGAAGACTATGATCTGGATCAGGCAGAGCTTAGTCTCTAGACTGACATCATTGCTCGTTAGCTCTCTGGAGAGGTCCCTGACAGCAGACTTCCCCAATACAATTAATCTTTTGATTTCCTGGCTGCTGGTAAGTATTGGCTTACAAAGTTCATATACATAGTGTTTCATACTTTTCTTCATTCACATTATGTTTCATACAGTCATCCCCATGCATTTCCAGCCATGGTATTTTCATTCACTAGCTATGCACTTGACAACTGGACAATGAATAAGGATGACAGAGAATAATTGATGCCTTTGAGTTTTGAGGTTGGAGAAGAGTACTGAATTATCAAAAGAACAAACGGATCTTGAAGAAAGTGCCACCAGAATGCTTCTTGGAGGCAAAGATAACAAAGCTTTGCTAACATATTTGCACATGTTGTTTGGAGAGGGTCTTGGAGAAGGCCATGTGATGATTGGAAAGGTGAAGGATTAACAAAAGGGAGGAAGACTCACAACAAGGTGGATTGACACAGTGAATGTTGCAATGGGCTGAATTAGGTCAGAGATGATGAGGATGGCACAGGATAGGAAAGGGTTTATATCTTTTGTTCATAGGGTTGCTATGAGTTGTACTTGACTCAGTTGCACCCAATAACAACATACCAAAGCAAGGAGCATTAGTGATATTGTGGTTAAACACTTGGTTACTACCCCATGTCAGTAGTTCAAGTCTATCACTTGTTTTATGGGAGAAAGATGTGGCAGTCAGCTTCTGTAAAGGTCAGGCTTGCAAACCCTTTTGTTAGTTCTACCCTCCCTATCAGGTTATTAGGAGTAGTCAACATCAACTTATTGACAACAGGTTTAGGTTTAAGGTTTATTTTTTTCTTGGGGGGTGCGGTATTTGTGTATCAGAACACTAAATGTCCTTTCCTCATTCCCTCATTACACTTGCTCACTGACTGCTTTTAAGTTAATTTTGATACACAAGGGCACTCAATCAGGTTTTTGAGCCTGTAAATAATAACAGGAGGAGACTGCCTGTCTCCTGCAGAGCCACTGGCAGACTATAACCACCAAACATGTGCTCCTTATATCCTGTTTAAAAAAATGTTGTTGTTGTTATTGTTGTGTGCCATCGAATTTCTTGCGACTCATAGTGACCCTATGTACAACAGCCCTAAAC